CTTACATACACACATACTATACATACATTTGTGTAAAAGTGAGAAGCAATGATCACAACAAACAAGAAAAACTGCCTTGACGGGGTAGATATACGAAAGGCAGCGAAAACAAAACCAACTGCAGCAACAACAACAACTACGCTGCCAGATGACGACAGCAAAGCCAAAGAAATCCATGTGCATTAAGACATAATGTAATCGCTGCGAGGGTCTACACCTTTACATACCATACGTATTCAAGTAATACACACTCACATATACATATGTATATTCAATGTTGTGTTTGTGACGCCTTCGCAATTGATTAAAACAACGTAACAGCCGGCATCGGCATCGGCATCGGCTGCGACATCAACATCGGCATCGGCCATCGGCCATTGAGTCGCGCGTCGCGTCGTTGGAGCGTTCAGTGCGATCGCAGACATTGTGCAAAACGGTTCACAGAGGCAGCCGAACGCTAGACACTAAAAGCTAAACCTGGAACGCTGAACGCTGGAATTGGAAGTCAAATTGAAATTGGAAGTGCGCGACTAGCCGAAGGAATTGTGTCAGACCAATTTGAAAGCATTGAGGAGGGCGTTATACGCCGCTACCAGCTGAACCAGTCGACGCGCAAATAGCTGAGCGAATTACAACAGCTTGAGGTAGGTCGCGCGTCTAGCGAATAGTGGCCCAGTAACAAAATGCCGTCTTCAAGGCTGCCTGGGGCTATCAGCTGTGGCAGAAGTAGCGCCATTTGGCCTCGTCTTAGGACCTGCTTATCGTGCCACGTTGTTCAGTCTTGTTCGTTTTATTAATAACAAATCAAATTGTTGTTGAATGCGACGCGTGCTCGCTGCTCACAGTGGCTTATCAGTGATGCGAACTGAACTGTTATGAACCTGTTAAATGCCCAAGTGCTAATTGATAATATGTATGAAACGCGTTAATCTTGATAAAAAACTAACTATATGGAATCTAAAACGCAATTATCAAAATTATACTAATTAAAAATGCTCTCGTTGCATTTCTAAACTGTAAATTTCATTTGACAAGATAAAAACAACATTTAATAAATTTATAATTTTACGATCATTAAAAGCCCGTACTTGTTACGGAATGTTCCCGAAAACTCCCTCTAAAAATTGAAATAAATTATATGAAATAATGCGATTATCAGCATTATCACATAAAATAAAATACAATAAAAAAGTAAATAGCACATTTAGACACAAACAGGGAACAACAATTTTTTATGTATTCAAAAATGTATTATTCTGTGCCTTCATATTTGACTTGACGACACACCAAAGCAAAAACTCGTATTCATAAAAAACAACACATCTGATATATTTTTAGCTTTATCAATTTGTTTTCGTCTTGGAGGCTCGACATATCTACACGCACTCTCACTGTCTCTGCTCACTTTTCACATTAATTGGAACGACCATGGATAGCGTCAAGTCGTTTTTTGTCAATCCCAACAAAGAAAACAATCTGAACAATCAGCAAAATGGCGTCTTAAGTCGTTGGGCAACCTGGAATGGCAATATGCAGGCGCATTCGGATCCGGGTTCAGTGAGCCAAGCTAGGAGAGACACGAATCGCGGCGATGCTAAGCGCAAGGACAGTGATAGTTATTTCTACATAATGTAAGTACAAAACGAATAATATTTGTTTTATATAGGACACCGTATAAAGAATTGGGAAGAGTCCTATCATTATTAATTATGCTAGCCATGGGAATTGCAAATTTAAGAATAATTTGAAATGCTTTTATAAAAATAAAATTTTTTTGTCTAAAATTGATTAAAATCTAACAAAACGTAAAAATAAAATCTGGAATGCAAAATGAAATTTTGAATTTTGTTTTATAGTCCAAATTTAGTAAAGGTACTAATTGATTGAGAAAAGTTTGTATTACATTTTTTATTTATTTATTTACTTTTCCATTATATACATCTGTAATAAAAATAATACTGGGAATTGTTAGATATTTAGAAAGCTCCTTTGAAGCTATAGAATTGGTTAAAGCTTATGCCAGTGGGTATACGAAAGAATAGTAATAATATTATAAATTTAATCTAAATCAGATATAATAAAAACAATGCTGGGTAATGTGAGAAGAGTTATCAGAGGAAAAAATTACATTGTATCAGAAAGAGCCCAATAGATCGAGTAAATAAAGTTATACGTACATTTATAAAATATAAATACAAGGTATAATAAAAATAACAGTAACATAATAATGAGAGGTGGCAATAGATTAGATATAACCTATCTTGACTTTTTCCAATCAGCAGTGAAGACTGTCAACACACTTGACTCATAAATTTTTTTCGATCCCCCTTATCAGAACTATATATGTATCGATTGCACTGCAATCTCTTGATCATAATTTTGGGTATTGAAGTCACAATTTTTGTGAGCAGTGTACAAAATTTGTGCGAATATTATTTAACATTTTAATTGGCTCTCAAACGATCTCTAGTTAGTACTCAGTACGTAAACCAGTTTTACGAACGGATTACTGCCATTGCCTTGAAAAATACCAGTATCTCGTTTATAAAACCAACTTTCGTCACAAACAATTCCAAATCAGAAGCAAAACAAAAGCTTTGAATGCTAGAGCTTAATATCTAAACAGAGAGGCAGAGATTTGTGTATAAATAGAGAGATAGAGGCAGAGAGAGAGAGAGGAAAACTCGCTTTGGGGGATTACTTTGTTCTGGTTTCCAATTCAGTCACGAATTAACAGCGCCAAGCCTCAGTTGAGCGGTTTTTTTGTCTCTGCTCGCTGAAATTATTTTAAGGCTGGAAGCTGTTAAATATCCGAAAATAACCCCATCTGATCTGAAGTCAAGTATAAAGTGCGTGATTCAGCAGCGCAGTTGAAACAGTTTCAACTGGCCAACGGGCAGGAATAGTAGCAGCGCGTAAGCTCCGATATGGAACTAACCATGATTCATTCAGATTAGAATAGTTTCATCTCTATTACTCTTAATATCATCGGTGCCCTGAGTTGCCCCCAGCACCGCTTACATTCTATATATAAATCCAATTCTCATAATATAATTTATAACTAATTATATTTCCTTTTATTTCAGGTGGCGGGCTTAAAGACGATATTCCAGCAGCAAGCGAAGCCATATTACAATAGGATATTTAGTCTAAAGTTACCTGGAGCGGCTTTTGATTTCATCTAAAATTAGAAACATCGGCGCTGTGACAGACGTGTTTTGCCCTGTTGCACAATCTCCATAACCGATGTTTAGTGATATTAGCTATTTATTTGTAATTCGTAATTCGTTAATCCGTAATTATATTTGATAATTGTCTGATCGAGACTGGCCTCTCTCTAACCTTTATATGGATGCGATAACAGTTATTGGCTTGATATATTGGCTGATCTGCATGCTCTTATTTGGACCCATGATGTTCTTTGTCTGCGTTTATTTACCTGAAGTGCCAGTGCGATATGTGAAGAGCTTGAGGCAGCACACCTAGGTCTTTTACACCTAACTTAATTGTCAAATATAAATATACACACATATACATATATATTGTATGCAGTACATAGAATATATACATTGCGCATATTTTATATATTATACTGATATTGATACTACTGATGTACTCCTATAGACACAATAAAATCAAATTCATGTGGAATATTCAGGCCTTTCAATCTCGTCTACTAGGTTTCAGCTCTTCGATCTAGCCGGAGCGTCGCCCATTGGCCTTCAAGCCAGCATTCGCTTAAAAAATTTATTTATACGTTCGCTGTGTGACTTGAGAGTGCATTGCACTCTAGAGCTCACTTGGTACACGCATTCTATGGGCATTACGGATAAATACTCATTGTACTGATCAAGTGTTTTTGGAATCAGTGTGTAAGGAGAGTAGCTGAGTGCAGTCTTATATAGCTTTTGTTATTATGAGCAATTGTGATTGTACTAATGCTTTTGTTATAGGTTTAAGTCCATGAACTACTACAAATATAGCTATTTTAACAATTCTATTCAACATTGTTAAACTAACTTTATATCTTAAGTATAGCTATATTATGTATATAGTTTAACAATAGAAGGCCAGATGATTCCGAGTAGAAATTATATTATTATTTGTAAAGCGTTATGCAAAAATAGTTTTCAAATAATCGATTGCAATGTGACAGTACTTTTCAAATTTTTTAGTTCTTTCCAAGATTCATTCTTTGCTCTCTAGATCTGTCAGTTATTTAGTACAAACTTGTCTTATTTTAACAAACCTTTTAGCTGAAATCATTTCCATTAGCTCTATGAACTCCCATTTTAAAGGTGACTAGCGATCGACTACATTCTAATCACATTTAAATATCAATGCAATATATATGTTTAAAATATAGTTTCTATACGTTTTCTTGATTCAGAGAGGCTTTATATTGAGAAAATTAAATTCCGCAGTACGAATTATACAATTCTACGAAAACAATAATTAGAATTGCTGAGTAATTTTTCATTAACAGAGCTTATCAAGAGATCAGGAGAATTCATATTATACGAATAGGCTTAGAGCTTAATCAGATGGACATTACATAAAACGCAATATTTTATGTGTATATATATGCTTTATTTACAGTAATCATATTAAATAAAAATTTACAGCAATTTTTCTGTTCATGCGTAATAATGGGAAGCCAGAGTTTTTCTTAAATGACAGACTTATAGGGTTCCATTGATAATTGGGCAAACCTACCAAGGTTTTATACTTTTATATATATGTATACGAATCCTTCAATTACGCTAATGTCCCTCCGATACTTCTAATTGTTCATTATGAACGAGGTAGATGCCACTAAAGCAAATTTGCTGAGTACCAGGTCGTTGACAGTCGCGATATCTGGGCGGTTGGCAAATCAATATGCAAATGGCAGCCGGTGCGTGGGAGCTCGGGATTTCTATAGTAACTCGAATAAACAAAGCAAGGAATGTAAGGCAAAGCAAGCGTCGAATTCCATTGTTCTATTTCACAATTACGTAAAGTTTAGACTGTGAAAAACATAAATTGGTTTAGTTAATGTCCGGAAAAGGCTCACAGGCTTCACTGTGGGTACAACAAAACAGCAAAACGAACAAAGTAAGACACGTTTAGTTCAAGAACTTGGTACACCGATAAGGATACGGCCCCAACATGCAAAGCGCAAAAGCCAAGGACAAGAAGAAGGTGAGCAATTACTCTAATATCATAATTTGACAGCAAAAATCCACACAATGCTGAGAATTTTGGGTAGAGCACTTGCACAATTCCACAATTTCACAATTCTGAGCAGCGAGCAGCGAGCTCTGAGCACATGCGAACACTTTGGGAGCTGTCAACGGTGTGATTGCGCCTTGGGTAGCTGGCGCATTCTCGGTCGTCCTTCGTTACATGATTCTATTTTCGTATTTAAAAATTTGCGATTACTTTTTAATAAGTTGGCTGGAACGTAGCACAGCGAAAGTTATTGGCGCTCTGATGGAACTTTGTCACGAAACATAATTTGCAATGTGCCCAAGGCGGCGCAGCTCGACCAGGACAGCTGGGGGATGAGCAGCCGGATGAGCTGGACTGGGCTGCCGTGTGCGTGCTCACAAAAGAGATGGCGCTGCCAGCTTTCAGACTGAGGGTAGATCACAAAAACTAAATACAACTTTATCTAGGCTATATAAAAAATTGTTGCGGAGCCTTGGCCAATTGAGTGTCGATGGTAATCAACGTCACCTACCAGCTCCAAACGCAATAAAAGAGTCAATAAATCAGACATGGATATGACTCGGGCCATAAAAGTAAATAGGTAACTCTAAGCGACGCCTCTGGGCATTGCCGTAATAGGTCGCAACTCATAGTCGTTTATTTGTATATAACTATTTACGCGCCCTACCGGAAATGTCAGCACCCTCTCGACTCCAAGCGCATCCTTTGCCTATGACGTGCCGTCGACGTCAGCGACGGAAGTTTTTTGAAACTTTCGCGAACGTCATCAGAACGGGCCCGCTGACAGTGCCTACCTCGAGCTGGTCCTAGGCCCCTAGGCTCAGTCGTGTTGCGCTCTTCAAGAGGTTCAGGCCTCGTGCTTGAAACATTTCACAGTGCTCTCCATCAAATAAAGCAGATTGCCAAGATGTGGAAGCTAGCGAATAAGGCCATGGCGGTATATGAGTACTTCCAATCGTAGAATATCTCTAACTGCAACTGTAACTACAAACAACTGTATTTGCAACTCTCTAGCTTTATCTGTAACTGTACCCATATCTGTATCTGTTTCTGTATCTGTAACTGAGCAGCTTAGTACTAGATCTAACGCAAGTTGCTTCAGTAGTGCGTGTGTGTGTGTGTGTGAGTGTCTAAGCAACAAGCCACAAACCAAAATATGTAAATACAATCTTAGAATCGAATTCCTGATATATATGTACATATGTATAGTTCAACAAATCTAGATTTTATTTTCGCCAATTCAATTCTACGTAGATCTAGTCATTCAACCAAGTCTTCTGTATATAAGTGCATATCATCTATGAGTAGCTAACCCCAGCTGTCTGCCCCAGCTCTCTGTTCCGCACTCGAAACATTAACCCATAGCTCGTACAGTCGCAAAAGCAGAGAAAATATGTCAGACATCGATGTCGCGCAGGATGAGGCTGGTGCCTGTGGCGCTAGCACGGACGAGCTGACTGTGGCGGAGCAACAGCTACTCGAGGAGGTAAATGCAACTGTCAGCCACCCACCCAGCACCGCCCACTTGAGAGAGCGACAAGTGCCTGGTAATCGGTCTGCCGAGTACATAGACCCTTTCCAAATAGTCAAATAGTAGCTAGCAAACATTCAGATTGACAGTTGAACAAGAAGTTTGTAAATTACCTTTAATTATAGAAGATAATACTATATTTATGTATGATATATTCATACTTGTTATTATATATATTATATACGTATGTATATGTATGTATCGTATTCTATATTATTATATATAGATTTCATATGAACTCTCCTATGTAGTTAAAATAATACATCTATCTACTTTATGAAACAAGTTCGGTTATCGTATTTTCTGCAGACTCGGTTAACTCGCTGACTTGATGTTCGACATTAAGATAAGATATGAGATAATATATAATATAAATTTTTTGTTTTGTCTGTGTTAAAGTTTTTGGAATACAACTTTGCATTCCATCCAACATTTATTTCAATCGATATTCCTGTTCCTGCACTTCCTAGCCTAATAATTAAATTCCTGAAAGTGCTTATAGTTCCATCGATATTTCTCTTCCTGGTATCCACAAATGCATCCTAAGCCAATATTTATTTTACATTCCATTAAGTGCTATCAAATGCAAGCCGATATTTGATTAGTATTGAAAGTGAAAGACAGTTTAAGATAGACTTTTGGAAAGAGTAAATTTCAGATACTTATGAATATGCATGCTGTGGGCTATTATACTTGACTTGTTCTCACTGATCACATAGCTCCAAATCTGTGCACAATTTTATTCGAGCAATTGATGTTTGATTTGCCCCATAGTATCCTAGCACTGTAATGGTGTATCCAGATGGAAGGTAAGTCCTTGACCGTTTCTTTCAGCTCCCAGATGCGCACTATCAAAAATTCTTAGCACACAATTCACAATTGACTCGACTGTCTGCCCACTTATGAATCTAATGACCCGCTATATATGTATATTATTCGAAATCCAAAAATAGAATAGGCAATCCAAGGCCAAGGGGGAAGGTGGCGGCGGTGGCGATGCAGATGATTTCGATGCCTGGATGAAATCACGCCAATTGGTCAAGCCAGATGATCAATTGGATCTGACAGACGCCGAGCTGGCCGAGGAGGTGACCAAGGTGTTGACACCCACCAATACGAATGTGCTGCGCAATTTGGTAGTGTACAACTTCAAGTTGGGTGAATTTGTGCTGGCACCCATACCAGGCAATACTGTGACCTTGATCAGTTTTCCGGGCAATTCGCTGCACGTGGACTCGGAGGAGGCGCGCTTTCAGGTGGAGGAATGCGAGGAAATTGGCTATCCTTTGCCCATGCCGAACTATGCTGTGGTGGAGCAGCGCGAGACTGTGATGGAGGGCGAGGAAGAAGGCGAAGGCGAGGACGACGAAAAGGACGACGGCGGTGCCAAGCCAGCAGCCGATGCTGGCGAAGAAGAAGAGGCCGAAGAAGAGGAGGAGGAGGAGGGCAAGACTGAGGGTGAGCAGGCCACGGAGGGCGAGCCGGCCGGCGATGACGACGAGCAAACTGGAGCACGGCCAGTAGTACCAGTCTCTGGCAAAAAGAAGAAACTCATCAACCAGTTCAACTATTGTGAGCGGGCCACCCTCACCTATGTCAATCCGAGGCGTGTAAGTAGAGAGCAGCGTTCATCACCCATCATCTCGCCTACTCTTAGTCTCAAAATCTTCCATAGAATGTGGACACCCAGACCATTCCGCCGCCTCGCTCGCAATTCGGCGCCAATGTGCTGCAGTGGACCATCTACGACAGCTACAACGAGGACTATGCCGAGCAGCAGAAGGCCGGCGCCGTGGCTGCCCGACGTCCGACGGCCAAGCAGAACTTCAAAAAGAAAACCGCCTACGCGGAGCAGTTGAATCGCAAGTATCTGCGATGCTGGCAGATACTCGAGCGCATGATCAACCAGAACATCTTCGATGACATCAGCAACGACTATCGCTACTGGGAGGATCCAGCCGATGAGTATCGCGACGGCGAGGGCAATCTGCTGCCCCTGTGGAAATTCCAATACGAGAAGACCAAGAAGATGAATGTCACCGAGCTCACCTTCAATCCAAGCTATTACGATCTCTTTGCCGTTTGCTATGGCTCACGTGAGTCGCCGACGTTTCTATATTACCTGAAGTATTTATATAGCCCAACTCTCTCTTACAGATGATTTCCTAAAGCAACACAATGAAGGCTATCTGTGCCTGTTTACCGTCAAGAACCCAGCCTATCCAGATTACATAAGTGAGTATATAGGTCTAGGTATATAGGTTTAAAAAATTTTATTATTCCCTCTTCTCTCTGTCTCTACCTTTTTGTCGCTCTCCCTATCGCTCTATCACACTCTCTATCTGCCTTTCTCTATCTACCTCTCACAATCTCGTTCTCTATCTCTCTGTCTCTCTCCCTGTGTCTCTCTCTCTCTCTCTGTCTGCCTTTTTTTCTTATTCTCTATCTCTCTGTTTTTCTCCCTGTATCTCTCAATCACTCTCTCTCTCTCTCTCTCCTCTCCTATTCTTCACTCCAGTTCAAACGGACTGCGGAGTCATGTGCTGTGATATCCATCCCAATTATCCCTTCCTCGTGGTGCTGGGCCTCTACGACGGCAACGTGTGCGTCTACGATCTGCGCGATGGCTGCAAGGCGCCGATGTATGTGTCCAGGGGCGTCAAGTGTAAGCACGCGGAGTGCGTGTGGCAAATCAAGTGGGGTCCGGACATGGCTGATGGCGAAATCAACTTCTATTCGGTGTCCTCCGATGGCTGCGTGTTCAGCTGGATTCTCATGCAGAATAAGCTGTGGGTGACCACCATGATTACGCTCTACATCGAGAACGACATCGCGGATGGGCCGGATGGCACGAAGGTAACGCTCAGGACCGGCGGCTCCTGCGTTCAGTTCCATCCGACCAATACGACAGTCTATCTTGTCGGCACCGAGATCGGCTTGATCTACAAGTGCAGCACGCTGTTTAGCTCCAAGTATCTGATGACCTATGATGCGCACAATATGTCCGTCTATCGCATCGACTACAATCGCTTCGATACGAACATATTTGTGTCCTGCAGCGGGGATTGGCGCGTCAAGGTGTGGGAGGACATGCGACCCGATCCGCTCTTCATCTTTGACCTCGGCTCTGCCGTGGGCGACGTCAAGTGGGCACCGTACTCCAGCACCGTATTCGCGGCTGTTACCACCGAGGGCAAGGTGCATGTTTTCGACCTGAATGTGAATAAGTACCAGCCCATATGCGTTCAGGCGGTAGTGCCGAAGCGTAAGAATAAACTCACTCGCCTGGCCTTCAACGAGAAGCTGCCCTTCATCATTGTGGGAGACGAGAAGTAAGTATGAGCTGTGGGAGAGTGCTCCACCCAGCTTACATATTCCTTTCCTTTTTCGCTTTCCAGGGGCGTTACCACCTCGCTCAAGCTCTCGCCGAATCTTCGCCTCATGGTCAAGCCGCCGAAGAAGCAGCTCTATCTCGATCAGCTAACACTGCAAAATGCCAAACTGGAAAAGCTGTTATCCTTGGTGCGCGAATTGCCGGAAGGTGCTCAAGCACCCGATGCCGCTACCACTGTGAACACTTAAAGCCAATGGAGCCTAGTTGTATTTGTGTGATAGTGTATTATATTTTAATAAGTTAAAATGCATATATTGAATTGGTACGAATAGTACAGAGTTCTTTATTGTATAGACGGTAGTTCCGAGAACTTTGGCTTTAGAAATTTACATGCTCACTCACTAACTTAGCTTTACCTATATGTGTATATCTATAAATATGTATAGACATCCATGCGAACTAGCTATAAACACAGAGGGAAAACTATATAGACACAGAAAGGAACACATAACCTCAATTTTACAAATACTTTAAAACAACGCTCCACTCATATATCGTACACCTACAGGAAGTGTGCATATAGTCGAAAGTCGTTCAACTTTTACAAAATTTCAACTAATGCTAAAAACTGAATGCAATTTCCGCTAAGGTAAATGATTATCTATCTACTCCTCCTCGGGAGCCACATTATCCGATTTGACCTTGATGTTCTTGCCCTCGAGATACTCCAAGACATTGTTGGGGCACATGATGCTCTTGCCCAAAAAGAGCACCGTCGACATGGGATGCAAGTAGTCGGAGGCGAAGGTGGTTGCCTTCCAGCCGAAGAAGCCGCTCGCTCGCACCTCATTCCCACTGATCTCGTAGGGCAGCAGATTGACGCCCACCTGATTGACCTTGGAGAACTGCACGCGGAAGTAGTGGCCATCGGTCGCCTTGATCCAGTAGAAGCCCTCATTGTCCACGTGTGGCTTGCTCTGCGACTTCTTCATGGCGTTCGAGCGCTCCAGGTCCTGCACATTGAAGCTGATGTCAATGTCGTAGGCATCCGGCGACAGCTGATTCGTCTCGATGGCGCTCTTGAGCGCATAGTTGTCCAGCCAGTAGCGTATGCCCACATTCTCGAACTCCTCGAGCACATGGTTGAAGGTGGTCTTCAGCTTGTCCAGGCAGCAGGGCGGCGTGTGCTTGCCCAGATAGTAGTAGAACGGACGACTGTTGTAGACGGTGCCGATGCACGACTTTGTCGTTCGCTCACAACCAAACAGATCGATGTCCGTGACGGCGGGCAGACTAAAGTTCGAGTACGAGAACTGTGCATCCAGCACGGGGCTGTGCGGCTGCCAGTTGCCTTCACGGGCCGCGGCCTTGCCGCCCAGTCGGTGGGTGCGCCTTACCAGGCGCTTGATCTGTAACTTTTTGTACATCTCGCGAAACTGACGACGACGCAGCTCCAGGCGCCGCTGTTTGGTGTGGAACGAGGCAAACAGCTTGCGGCCCTCCAGAAACGACTGAGGGAACACACTCGTCTGTGAAAGACGAGAAAATCTGATTAGAAATAATCATGATAAAGGACAAGAGCATTCATGTCGGTTATAAATGATTTACATACTCATTCACGATCTTAAAACAGAGAAACTATAATAAAATGCAGACTGTGTTAATTATATATCTTTCATCTGTTGAGGAAGACTACAGTATTTCATGTGCCATACCTGGAGATCCACATGATAAATATATCTGACGTCTATAGGCTCAACAGGTTATTCCATAAAATACAATAGATTATTCTAATACCGTAGAAGAGATAGTTTTATTCTATTTGTCAGGATGCCAACGATATTGATTTCCTTAAGTATCTCGCTGGAATAGCAACAAAATGGCATTTATTCCGGACAAGAGATTCGGCGAATCAGCTCATGACAAATATCTGATAATAATAAAATAGAAGATACACGTTTACCCATAATTACGCCCTAACTGGTCTATTCGGGGACTGATTGATTAAGCTGAAAGGAGTATAACTGACATTGGACTAATTCAATATACCCCTTTCACTATGTGAATGAGTATATAATGCAATGTTGCACACATATATGTATACATTACCGTTAGGTTGGCAATCTTTGCCTGCACGTAGAGCATTTCCGGAAAAGGCAAGCCGAATGGTTCCGGCATGGCGCCAAGTGTGGCCACGTCAATCAGTATCGCATGCTTCTGCAAGAACTGTAAAGAGATCATAAATACATATACACATACATATACATGAATCAACTATCAATGCCTTACCAAATCGCAATGCGTAGTATCATTGCGCGCCTCCAGTTCCATGGTCCAGTTGGGCAAGTCCAGGTTGAGTTTCGCACAGCTGCTGTAGGCTTTCGAATTGCCCGCAAATGGGATGAGCAGCAGGCGACGCACTTGCTCATCCGGCGCAACTGTGACACGCTGAGCCGGTGCTTTGCCCGACTTTGTGTTCATCTCTCGCAGGATTTTCTGCAGCAGATTCTTGCTGCTCAGCCGCACGCTGTCCGGCATCAGCAGAGCATATTTGGTGTGCACAGCCGCGAGGGGATTCAGTTGGTCACGCGTGCGACGCACGTCGAAGGCCAGACTCATGAAGTGCACCGTCTGCTCCTCGCCGCTGGTCAGATTGCGCTCAAAGCTGACCGGCGGATAGGCGTACTCGGCGGCGCCCTCCTGCAGCACCAGAATGGGCATATTCGGCACGACATCCAATATGCTAAGGGAGAGAAAGAGAATAAAGAGTCAATATGGATAATCCTCATCTAATCTGAGCTCTACTCACCTCTCGATGCTGGGCCGCAGGTCCTGCTCGAAATTGTAGTGCCCGTAGAAGACAATTGTAATGGACTTCCTTATGTGCTTGTTGGCATTGCGTGCCTTGTCCTTTGGCGAGAGCTTCGGTCCGCGGGCCGCCTCGCTCTTTGGCTTTGTGTCGGTGACTTCGCCCGTCAGAGCGCGGCTAATGCGCCGCCAGAGGAACGAGTTCCAGGTGTAATAGAAGAACACCAGGTTGACTATGATGAAGCCAATTAGCACCAGCTTCACAGAGCGCAATCTAAATATCTTCATGATGCTGTGTGTCCTTAGTCTTGTGTCCTGCGGTAATTGTTTGATTGGCTGCCCAGCGGCTTAGCCTCGTGTATTTCTGAGCTCTACGCTTGCAACTCTATTGGCCATTTATCATTGTAATCTCACAGGCACGACTCGTATTCACTTTAAGTTGCTCGCAGTGGAACTACATTTTATTTAAGATTTTCTTGCATTTGTTTTCATTTCCGATTCCTTTTCGATTAGCTATTCACGAATATTTTTCATCTCACAAGCTTTTGGCATTCGATCAGCTGATTTCCTGGTGGAATGAAGCAGCTGGTTTGGCAATAAGCTAAAATGCCGTTAGGGATGTCCTGTGAAAGCTTTCGCCAGAGCTTTTTCATAAATAACTAAGGATGCGAAACATACCCCTAATGCACGCAGGCCATAAGGAACAAGCTCATTAAAAAACTCCCTTAACAACCACAAGCAACAGCGCTTCGGAAAAATTATTGAAAAACTGAAATCTACATGTTTAACAAATAAAAGAAACTCTAAATATAAATTATAATCAAAAATATTAGTTTGTCCTTAAAATATTTTTAAATGTAAAAATATTTTAAATTGAGCTAACATATAAACTTAAAATTTAATCTAAAAACCAATATACTCATTTCATTTTTTTGGGAATAGATATAATAAATTATTATAAATTGTAACCATTTAAAAATATATCTAAAAAAAAATTTTTATTTATTTATTTTTTAATTAATTTTAATTTACAACTATTTATTATACTCATTCTCACTTCGTCATAATTTTGAGAACATAATTTATATTAATAAATATTAGACATAAATATATATTTTTATTTATATATTGAAAGTACAATATTTAGTAATATTGTATACTTTATGAGTTGGCTTACAAAAAGTAAACCTTGGCGGGAATATACCAAATAATAAATATTTATTTATACACATACATTTTATCTGTAGACTAACTACTTTTTGACTACCATCTTATATATAGACAGAGCCATACATACGCATTACATACCTATAGATATTATTATAACATATATAAGATTTGTTTTATGAAGTTATATGCCTTAGACTATCATCAGAAATATATAGAAAATATTATTACTCATTTGAGCACGATAAATATATGTAAATACCGTATAATTTGAGTCAGACATCAAAAAGCATTTAAAGTCTATTATATAAGATTTTGTACCTCAGGCGAAGTAAAAATAGGAAAAGTAGTAAAAATATACAACACTCAATTTACAATGTTAACTTTCATTTACATTAATATTTTATATATAAATTTATATTAAATTATATTATTATATTATATATTTTGTATTTTATATTATATGTGTATATATACAAATATATATAAAGTATATATAGTAATATTTAAATAATTTACTAAGGCTGTTCACACCATATAACAACAGTTAAGTCCACTTAACCGACAATGTTTGCAACTAATAAGAAAGCTAAATTGCAGTTGAGTCAATAAATACCAAATCGAAAGCAACTAATTACTGAAGACTTGTTCGTAGTCCAAATACAAATTCAATGGATTGAAAAACCCAAAATTTCTTTCTTATCTAAACTAAAGAAGTTAAGCAGCTATAGTATTTGGGTGCTATACGACCAATGTTTTGACATGCCTTTAATTTAAGCGTAAAGTTCTTAAAATTTCATTAGACTTGGATATACATGAATCAATATATGTATAGAAGTAGCCACAATAAAAGACCGAATAATATATAATAATATGAATAAATAATTAACTAAAAACTATTTATATTACTAGTACTATTATGAATAAATATAAAATATATACATATATATCATTATTATGCATTAGCATATATAAAATATGTATGTGATTTCCGCAAAAAGTTGTGCGCTAGTTTTCATATAACTATCACAGCGCATTTAATTCTTGAAGCGTTGAATTCAATTCTGTGTCAGGTAATTCTAGATATACATATGTATGTACATATATTATAAAGCAATAATAAATCTACCGCAACACACTATACTCTACAATTTGCTAACTACGAGTATAAATTGACTATAATCAAAAGAATATATTATGAATATATATGTATATATTGACACCAATTTTGTTAGATCTGACAGACCAGACCAGAGATGAAAGTCCAAAGCCAATATACTCACTACAAATAAATTTACATAGTATCAACATGAATAAGCAAAATATAAG